ATCCATCCATCCATCCATCCATCCATCCATCCATCCATCCATCCATCTATCTATCTATCTATCTATCTATCTATCCATCTATCTATCTATCTATCTATCTATCTATCTATCTATCTATCTGTCTATCTATCTCATCTATCTGTCTCTGTTTTTCTCTCTAGTCAACGATCTACCTACCTGCCTACCTATCTCATTTATCTATCTATTTTTGTCTTGTCTATCTATTCATCCATCTAGTTCTCTAGCTCTCTTACTCTCTTCATATATTATCAGCTATACTGCTGGAACATTGTCCCCACTCTCTGGGGGAAGGGTTGCCCCCTCTCCTGGCATGAGTTCACAAGGGTTGGACACTTCTCTGCCTCCAATGTCACAACTGAATTTTCCTGGAGTATAAAAATTCTTAACTATGGTCATGAGACTGTGGTATAGAGGGAAAAGCAACAACCTGAAAGTTGGGAGACTCATATTTTAGCCCCAGTTCTATCACCCAGTAGCCATGAGGTGTCTGGCAAGGCCCTTCCATAGGCTCACTTGGGTCCCTTCCAACTAGAACACTCTAGGAGTCCATGTTTTGGAGGCTCTGACACGGTGATAGGAATACAAGAGGGGAAAAACGTGGAAGCCATTTCAGTACAACATTGACCTGGACCTCCTAAAAGGAAAGCTAGGGAGTTATGGAAATTGAGGGAGGACAGAAGCCAGATGCTTTTCTAACATTACTTCCAGCTCCAATATTCTCTACTCTGAAGCCTCTTACTTCAACATTCTAAGGCCCCTCCCAGCTCTGACATCCCCTGTTCTAAGGACCCTCCCAGCCCTGACCTTCTCTGTTCTCAGGCCCCTCCCAGCTCTGACATGCCCTGTTCTGAGACTGTTCTTTCATTCTGTGCATTTGCTGCTCTTTTAGGGGCAGGTACAGTGCTGACTGATGATCGGAATCCCACCTCCCACCCCCCATCCCTCACTCAAGTGTCCTAGGGGATTCTAAAATCAGAACCAGAAGGTACCTCATGTAGTGTCCACTTCCAGATGAGGGAAGTGAGGTCCCAAGAAGGGAAGTGACTTAGCCAGAGTCCCCTAGCTAGCAAGCAGAAGCAGAACTGGGCTTTGTTCTGCCATCTCTTACCTGTAGCTCCAGTACTCCTTGGTTCTTTCATCTCTGGTTCCTCATTTGCTGAGGCCCAAGGCTGTATTTCAATCTTCGCTGCCCTGTAGGTAAAACATCATGTTCAATGTCCATCTCATTTCACACTCCATTTGGGGACTTTCCAAGGGGCCATGTACCTGCCTTCCCAGCTATTGATTGGGAAGGGAAGGGTTTGAGATAAAAGTCATTTGGAGCCGAGGGCTTGTGGCTCCAGTGAATTTTGACTGACTCACATTTGTTCCTTTCTCCTAGGACGATGCTGGAATCCTCCCCTACCCAAGCCCGAAGAGAGATGTAAGTGAAATGGCCCCAAGGTTGACTGGGCACTTTACTGTGAGATATGATGGATTGATCCATAGCGTTCTGGGAGCATATTTGCTGACCACATGTCAATATCCACTTAGAATGACTGCCTGGGTCTTTTCCCAAATGGGCCTTTTGAGAGATGTGTCTGTCAGAGTGTCAGATGTCACCCTGAAAGGCAGAAATAGATAAGGCTGGATATCTCAATCAAGGCACTGACAAATCATTATCAAGTTCCTTTAATGAATAAGTGGTAGTCCCTTGCTATGTAGTTGGAAGTTGGGAAGGCAGTGCAAAGCAAGGTGTTTACCATCTGGCTGGGAAGACAAGGTTCATGTTATAGAATGGTAATAGTTCAGGAGAGACAGCATGGTCCAATGGGTAGAGATCTGGCTTTGAAACCTCTCCCAGCTCTGATATTACATTGGCTAGAGAGCTAAGGCTGTCTGGGCAAGTCACTGGATCTCCCTGGGCCTCAGTGTCCTCAATCAGTAAAATGGGATGGTATATTGGGTAGAGTTGGCCTTAGGGTCAGGAAGACCTGAGTTCAGATATTACTTCCGATACATATTGGCTGTGTGACTCTGGGCAAATCACTCAAGCCTTTTATTAACTCAGGAAGCTGTCAAAATCTTTATGTCCCTGAGGAGTTACCATTCTTCCTCGATGGAGAGACTATCCATACTGGGAGTCCTCCCTCACCAAGGAAATCACAGGTCTTGGACAATGGACAAGCAAAAGTAAATGCTAATAAATGTTCATAACAATTAAGGATTACAAAGCACTCTGAATGTATTATCTCACCTACTCCTCATCAACCTTATTGTAGAGACTGAAGTATCACTATCTCCATCATACAGATGATTTAACTGAAGCTCAGTAGTGAAATAACTCTTCCTCCATTAGTTAACCATTCAATCCATCAGTCAATCCAAAAGCAATTACTTAGTGCTCACTATGTGCAATTATTAAATACTCACTAGTTACTTAAGTGTTGGTGATACAAAGACACTTGGGTTTCACAGAAGTGAAACAGCCCTTGCCTACAAGGAGTTTACATTTGAATGAGGAAGTTAATCCCTCCACATATGACTAGATACAGAATACAAACAATGAGATGAGCTGGTTCTGGAAGGGGTGTCTTAGCAGCTGGCGGGGGGGGGGGGCAGGCATTGAGAAAAGCCTCCTGCAGAAGGGAGGGTCTGAGCTGAGGCCAGAAGGAAATCAGAGATGCCTAGAGGCATTAGGGAGCTAATGGTTAGAGAGTGCTTCAGGATAGTGTCTTTGGCAGCTGTGTGAAGGATTAATTGGAGGAGAGAGAGACTGGAGGCAGAGGACATTGTGACAGTCCAGGAGAGAGGGGATGAGGGGCTGAACCAGGGTGTGTGTGTATGTGTGTGGTGTGTGCATATGTGTGTGTGTTATGTATGTGTGTTGTGTGTGTATGTGTATGTTGTGTGTGTTTATGTGTGTATTTGTGTGTGTGGGATGTGTGTGTGTGTGGGGGATGTGTGTGTGTGTGTGTGTAAAAGAATGTGTTTGTGTGGTGTGTGTGTGTGTGTGTGTGTGTGTGTGTGTGTGCGTGTGTGTTTGGAGAGGACATATTCCAGGGGACTGTGGAGACAGAAACAATAAGAAATGTCAACTTATTGGCTATGGGGAGTGAGTAAGAGGTCAGAGTTGAGGACGACAATGATGTTGGGTGACTGGAAGGATGGTGGTATCCTTGACAGTAGCAGGGAAAATTGAAATAAGAATGGGTTTGGGGGAAAGATAATGAGATCTGTTTTGGACATCTCGAGTTTCCAATGCCTTTGGGAAATACAGCTTGAAATGTCCATTAGGTGGTGGGTGCTGGAGGACTGGAGCCCTGAAGAGAAAGCAGGACGGCATTGTCGGTGGTGGTGCAGCTCTCAAAGAGGACCAATGACATCATGAGGGGAATGATATCTATCTGGGAGCCATCTGTATTGAGACAAAAATGAAACCTAATTAAATATTTTTTGTTAAGAGCCTACTATGTACCAGCAGGCCCTGGGCTCAATTCTGGTGCTACAGAGGCAAAGATGAAACAGTCTCTGAAGGAACTTCTGTAGTATAGTAGTAGCTCCATAAATGCCTGGTGTATCATTGACATATTCTCCTGGGGAAGGCAATGCACGCAAATGAATGTGTACTTAATAGATACAAACAAAATGAATGCAAACTAGTTTGGAGAGGGAGGGCACTGGCAGTTTGAGGGATCAGGAAAGGCTTCCTCCCTCTCTCTCACCCCCCTACGTCCAATCTGTAACCAGCTCCTGCCAATTCTACCTTCCCAACACCTCTCACATGCCACCCCCCCCTTTTCTGGTCTCTAACACTGCCCCCACTGATGCAGATGCTCATCACTCCTCCACACTGTTGTCATAGCTGCTGCTAGTGGGTTTTCCTGCCTCAGGTTTCTCCCCATTCTAGTCCATCCTCCTCCATTTGGTTGTGAAATGCTTAGGCCAACCCTAAAGCACAGGGTTGACCATGTCACCCCCACCCCTCATCAATAAATTCCAATGGCTCTCTGTTATCTCCAGAATCAAATACAAAATTCTCTGCCTGGCTTGCAAATCCCTTCATAAGCTGGCCGAGTCCTATTTTCCCTAGTCTTCTTTTTTCTTTTCTTTTTTTCAAGGCAGTGGGGGTTAAGTGACTCGCTCAGGGTCACACAGCTAGTGTTTGGTCTGAGGCCAGACTTGAACTCAGGTCCTCCTGACTTCAGGGCTGGTGCTCTATCCACGGTGCCACCTAGCTGCCCCCTCGAAGTTTCCCTAGTCTTCTTGAACCTTATGCTCCCACCTGCATGTTCTGAGATCCAATGACACTGGTCTTCTTTCTGTTCCTCATACGAGACCATCCCCCGACTCTGAACAGTTTTATTGGCATTTGTCAGGACCCAGCCAAAATCCTGCCTTCAGCAACAAACTGTCCCTGATCCCTCTCAATGCGAGTGCCTTCCTCCATTGATTATCTCCAATTTATCCAGTATATAGTTTGTTTGTACTTAACTTGTTTGCTTCTTTCCCCCCCACCCCCCCACTCCCATGAGACGGAGAGCTCCTTGAGGGCAGGGACTATCTTTTTTCTTTCTTTGCATCCCTAGCACTCAGCCCAGTGCCTGGCTCACAGTAGGCACTGTATAAATGCTTGTTGTCTTGACTTGGCTTCATGAAGAAATTGGTGCTTGACCAAAGAGTCTTGAAGGAAACAAGAAATTTGGAGAGGCAGAACCGAGGAGAAAGTACATCCTGGGTGTGGAGACTGGACATGGCAGAGACAGAGATGAGTCATGGAATGCCATATATGAAGAATCCAGGATGTTCCATGTTCTCAGTGGCCCTCCATCTCTGACATTCTGTGCTCTGAGGTGTCCCCCCTCTTCCCCAATCAATCCTTCTTCTGTGTCATAGTGCAAAGAGCACTGAGTTTGAATTCAGCACACTTGGGTGCTGAATACACACATACACAGATATATACATACAAGTGTGTGTATGGATAGATATATAAATGGATGGATGGATAGATAGATAGACAGACAAATGGATAGATAGATAGATAGATGGATGGATGGACCAACAGAGAGAAAGAGAGAGAGAGAGACAGAGACAGAGACAGAGACAGAGACAGAGACAGAGACAGAGACAGAGGCAGGCAATGGAAGATAACCAGAAGGGGAAGGCATTACCAGCTGGGGGACCAGGAAAGGCTTTCTACAGAAGATGGTGTCTGAGTTGAGCCTTGAAGCAAGCCGACAAAGCTAAGAGGTAGAGGCAGCATAGTCTGGTTGAATGGACATCTGTAAAATGAGTGATTCAAACGTGTGTGTATTGGGCCAAATGGCTACCTGAGTTTCCTTCTAGTTTTCCAATTGGGTGAAGCTGTGATTTTCTGATCCTGTGACCAGATGACTTGTGCATGCTCTTTCATCTCTCAATCCCATCAACTTTGGCACAGGAAGCATTTGAGCTGGGAGGAATCTTAGAGATTATTTTAAAGGTGAAAACAAACAAACCAACAAGCCAAAGTCCAGGGAAGTCTTGCCCCAAGTCCCCCAGGGAGTGAAGGTTAGAAACTGAGTGAGGCAGAGCAGAGAGGGTTAAGGAAGGCTGGGGTCATTACGGATGAACCAATATGGAAGGCACCAATGCTTTGTACCTCCCCTTTGGGCAGGGATGGTTAATTCTGTGCTCTTGTTCCAGAGATAATCAATCCCTTCTGGATTCCTCCATCAGCTCTCAGCCAATGGAAAACGTCAGATCCTGGCTGAGTTTGTCCCCAAGCCCACCCCCATCCAGGTCCAGCCTCAGAGGGAGAAGTCCTTCGCAGCAGTCAGCCAATGGTAGCGGAATTCTGGATCAGAGGTAAGAGACTGTCAGTGGTGGTCAGGAGCCACTCACACGAGGGGATCATCAGAGCCCTCCTGGGTTCTGCTCTTTCCTCTGATGCCCCAGCCTCACTGCCTCAAGCCCAGACCTGGGTTGTCTTAGTACAAGGCAATGCCCGTGTGGGGGCAGAATGTAATTATAAAACATCATAATATAATAAGTGTGACGTAATAATTATCTTATGAAGCATTAACTATAATATCATCATAATAAAATGATAAATTTTCATAAAAATGATGACTCCCATTTCCCCCGTGTATCTGACCTCCCCCTCCTGGTATCCCTGGCTTTCTTTGAGTCTCACCTCAAATCCCACCTTCTGTGGGAGACCTTTCCAGTCTCCCCAGTTTCCTCCCTAGCTTGCCTTCCATTTATTCTGTATAGAACCCAGTGTTTTCTACTTATCTTCACATTTGTCTCCCCCCCCTTAGAATGGATGCTCCTTTGGGACAAAGCCTGTGTTTGGCTTTCTTTGTATTCTGAATGCGTAACACACTGCTTAGAATAAAGTAAGAACTATAATATAGTAAGTAGTATAAGGAATGCTTTCTGACCAACTGACCAACTGATTTTTTCCTCCAGTTCACAGAGCATTTCCTTTCACAATAATCCTGTGGGACAGACAATCCAAGTATTATTATACCCATTTTACAAATGAGGTAATGAAGGTCCAAAGTTAGGCAACAATTTAATGGAGACCATCAGAGTCAGTGCTGGAATGGATTTTTAGAGGCCATCTAATCTAATCTCTTTAAAAAAAAAAAGACTGGTCTTTCTATCTCATCCAAGCCGAAAGGTTAGGAGTGGCTAATGACCTTGATGCCATCACTGAGTAGCTCAGAAGCTGGGCTCATTTGACCCTCCTTAGGGAATCTGGTGGCCTGCTGTTCCCAGGGCCCACCACACTAAAGCTAGATTTGGTGCAGACATTCAGTGGGCACGGCCCACGGCGGCTCAGAATCCCTGAGCTCGAGAGATCCGCCAGCCTCAGCCTCCCCAATAGCTGGTATTATGGTCATGGGCCTCCGCACCTGGCTCCAGTCTCTTTCTTTTCTAGACAAAACAATTGAGGTTCAGGAGAATTCAATGACTAGCCCAAGGTCACACAAAGTAGTAGGTTCTAGAGTTAAGCTTTGAAAAAGACCTTGGGCTCCAAGTCGCACATGTTTACTGTTTTGTTTTTATTACGCCCATTTTGCAAAATTTGAAACTGAGGATCAGAAGGATGTAAGTGACTGCTCGGTACCATAACCACAACACAGTCCTAGAGTTTGACTTTCATTCCATCACTCCTTCCACTAAAGATTGTGTGGAGGCAGAAGTGACTCCACTTTTGTGGATTCACTTTGTGACTCAACTAGAAACAACAGAGGAGAAGGAATTTCCATCAGTTTACCAGTTGTGCATTCGCCCAGTGCCCAGCAGGCTGTCTGGCCAAATCTTCCACCATCAACTACCTATTTACATGTCAGCCAAAGGGACTGAGTCAACAAGTAGCTTGCACCCTGTACCATCACGCCCTTTGTGTTTGGGGGTAGAGGATACAGAATGTTCCAGCTGGAGGTGACCTTACTTGCAGAAAGGACGCTACCCTCTGGAGAAGGGAAGGGACTTGTACAAGGCCACAGGCCAGAATTCTCTAATAACAGATAGATAGACCCAGATCCCTTTCTCATCGTGTAGTTTTCTAACAGCAGCCTCAGTGTGGCGAGGATGTCAGGAAAATATTTCCCAGGTGGACTTCTAAGTTGCCATCGTCCCCAACGCTTTATACTTTACTTATGCCAGAGGCAACTGTCTATTGCTAGGTGACCCTCTTGGCTTGTGCTGGAAAACATCTGGGGAGAAACTAGAAACAGAAACTCGGTACTGGGCTGGCTGGGTAGGTGGGGAGGGGGGAAGGTGGTGAGGCATGGTGGAGTGTTTGAGAAATGTGCCTGGTATGGTGCCATTGTAAGAGATGGAACAGAAGGAGAAGGAGAAGAGGAGGGAAGGAGGAAGAGGGGGAGAAGGGAAAGAGGAAGGGAGGAGAAGCAGGCAACATGTTGACTGTTGGTGAGAAAAGACATGTTGGTGGCTCAGATTAGTAACTGTTACTGTCTGAGGAGTCACTCGGGCCAGATGATGGGGGCTGTGGGGTGGAGGTTATGTGGTGGAATGAGTGACCAGAGGTGAGGAAGACCAGGGTTCTAATCTTTCCTCAGACACTGGGCAAGTCCCTTAACCTCTCTGAGACTCAGTTTCCTCATCTGTAAGTTAAAGATAACAACTCCTTCATCCCTCGGCTCACAGGGATATTATGAGGATTACATGAAGAGTGTCAAATGCTTTGTGTATGTTAATGTGCTGTATAATTGCCAAATGTTGTTATTCCATGCTGGGCGTGGAGTCAGGAAGACCTAAGTTCAAATATGGCCTCACCTCTGTCTGCCTCAGTTTCCTAACTTGTGAAATGAGAAGAATGCCAGGAGCATTTGCTTCGTGGGGTTCTGTGGCATTGTGTACATGAAGAGGCCCATGACATTAAAGCAGCTTGCCTGAGCTCGTGCAGGTCACAAAGGTCAGAGGAAGGATTTGAACACAAGACCTCTGACTCCGGTGCTCTTTCCCCTGTACCTTGCTGAGTTTGAATCTCCTTTCTGATGATGGCTGTGTGACTACGGGTAAGTCCCATAACCTCTCTGACAGCCTGTGAAATGAGAAGAGTTCTAGTCCAACAGCCTTCCAGTTTGTCGTGAGGACCACATGAGGAAAAGGAGGGAGAGTATTTTGTGACCCTTAAAGCCCAGCAGAGAAGTCAGCTGAGGAGAACAATGGTGGAGCCTCTCCTTTCATCCCCCCAGTTTTATACTTGGCCTGATGCTGTTCTTGCTAACATTTATTCTCTTCCTCCTCCTCCACCTTTTTCTCCTTCTGTTCCTTCTACTACAATGAGACCATGCTAGGCACACTTATCGAATACCCTGTCATGCCTCACCCCATACCATTATTAAGCATCTTGGTGGCCCAAATAGCTCCATTTCCTTCCAAACCTCAGAGTCACAGAATTAACATTTTCTGCAACCACCCCATGAACCTGTGCTTTCCAGTTCCCTCATCCCATTCACTTTGGCCAAACATAACCCTGATGGGAAGCTGGCACCTGAGCAGGCGTGAGGAGAAATCTGCTCTTCAAAGGTCCCATCTGGTTCTAAATGGCAACCCTTTGGAGGAGGCCTGAGTGCCAGCTGCTCTGGAACCTGGTCACAGGTGGGCCCTGCAGCGTTCAAGGGGCTCCATGGGGTTCACTGCTATTTTGGAGTCTGGCTTCCCTCTTCATTGAGCCCTGGGCTTAAAAGTAATGTGACTGATAGGATGATTTTATATTCAGAGATCATAGCGTCATTGCCTCTTAGACTTGGCAGACTCTTGAGAAATCATTTTAATCCAACAAGCACATTTTACTGATGAAAAAACTGAGAGCTTGGGAGAGACTTAAGGGCACACAGGGAATGATGGGGCCAGGGCTTCCTACCTCTCCCTCTGGTGTTAGTTATCCCACGTATATTGAAGGTGTGAATGTATTTTATGATGTATAAAACATGATACAAGATTTTGGAATATATATATATATCTATATCTATATACCAAATCTATATCTATCTATCTATCTATCTATCTATCTATCTATCTATATATGTGTCTACCTATGTGTGTGGATGTGTATTTTTTTTAATATGACCAATATATTTTAGGACTAAAGTGAGCAGATTCTATGTATCCTTGGATAATTCATTTTACTTATCTAGCCTCAGTTTTCTCATTTGTGAAATATGGAGATTAGATTTCCAGGGACCTTTCCTGCTCTATGATCCTATGACCTTTAAATAAAAATTAGAGGACTGTGATAATGGTCTTCAAGTATCTGTCAATTATCAATAATAAGTCAAATATTCCCTCTGTGCCTCAGTTTTGTCATTTGCATAATGAAGATATGAATCCTTGTGGTATCTACCTTAGGGTTTTTTGCGAGTTTCAAAGGGGAATTATTGATGGTGATGTTGTGGGTATTGGTATGGGTTTCCCCTCTCTTGAGTTCAGCAGTTGAAGGCTGGGTGACCACGTTGTTAACAGAATAGGTGCTTTAAGGTTTACAAAGTGCTTTGCAATTATTATCTTATTTGTTTCTCACAACAACCCTGGGATGCAGGTGCTATGATTATTCCCATTTTGGAGATGAGGAAACTGAGGCAGACCGAAGTTAAGCACCTTGCCCAGGATCACACAGCCAGTAAGTGTCTGGTAGGACACTAGGTAGGATTTGAACTCAGATCTTCCTGACTCTCGGTCCAGTGCTTTATCCATTTCACCACTGAGATATCTTGTAAGAAGGAGGTGATGTGGTACTGGGGAAAGAGAACTGGGTTCAGAATCAGAGGGCCTGGTTCCAGTCCCAGCTCTGCCTCTTATGATCTCGGTGACCTTGGGCAGGTCATTTCTTGGGTTCTCATTTGTTCATCTGTAATATGAGGGGGTGAGACTCAACACTCTCCAAGGTAATTTCGAGCTTCAGATGGATAACCCTATATGTAAGGGAGAGGATTCTTTTTTGTCTGTAGGTTGATGGATTGCCTCCTGTGGTTTCTTCCAGCTCAAATTCTGTGACTATAATTGCCACCATGTCCAGACTTTGAGTCTTTCCTTTGATAAAGTGAAATGACTTCAAATCCAGTAAAGAACTAGGCTGGGATCCTGCAGGCTTCTGGATTTGCCAAAGGGATCTTGCCCACTCCACAGATAGGCTCTCAAAGCCTTCATGAAGGCAGAGAGTGAGATCCCTTTTCCATTCACGCATTCCATCTGATTTTATTTCCATTTCTCTGAGCTCGTTTGGTTTTCTGTCATGAGGGTGGCCCAATTATAATTAGAAGTGAACGTCAATAAATCAGAAATTATGGATTAAACAGATGCATAATTAAGATGAAATGCATTGGACT